GAGGCCGTGCAGGAGCACGCTCCGGGCCAGGACGCCATGGAACTGCTGGGCGGCGCGGGCGCTGAGCTGGAGGCACCCCAGCAGGGTTGGAGTTCAGACTTGTTGGTGCCTCGGAGGAGGAAGGGCTTGAGCTCGTTGGAGCTCGTGCAGCGCATCGGACGACCCGTGGAGCACAGCGTGCCCCGTGGGCTTTTCTCGGGCTTCGGCGAGCCTCCTCGTGGCCACGGCTGGGCGCAGCTCGAGAAATTGTACACCCTAGGCGATGCTTAAGAAAACTTGTGTTTTCGGCCAGAGTCTTGATTATTCTTAGTGTTTCAATGTAAATCCTAAGATTTTGATAAACGTTCTGGGTTTTTATTAAAATTCTGAGACTCTGAGTTTCTTAACCCATGATTTCTTAAGCATGTCGCAGGGTGTACAGGGATGGACCCCGGGAGGTGTCTGGCGGTCCGGGGATCGGTTCTGAGGAGCTTGCTGCCAGATCTTTTGGAAACTCCACATCTACTCGGGGTGTTGCTCAAGGTGCCCCTGGCCCAGGGTGCCCCAGGCCTTTCGCTCCATGTTGGAGCCTCCGGGGGGGCCCTCGGGGCCTCGTAAGGGACGCTCTGGAGGCCGTGGGGGCCTCCTTTGGAAATCCTGGGGGCAGTCTGGGCCAGGGGCACTTCCACCAGCACCCGAGGTACGGCCGGACCTAGGACAGAAGACCATCCTTCAAGAACATGAGACCCTCCGCCGGCCAAACTGGGGAGTCCTCCCCCAGGATGCACACGAGCATCCAGCAAGCACGAGGAGCATTAGGGTGCCCTCCCCGAGCCGACCTCGACCCGATGCCTCGGTCTGACCGTGTGCGGCGGTGTTGCTGCCCCCCCACCGTGTCTGCCTCCGGGTGCCGCTCCCTGGGCCCCGAGCCGTCGAGAGGCGGCGCACGATGGAAGGGGGGCCCCGGGGAGGGGGTCGAGCGTCGGGGCCGCAGGGGCGGGGGTGCATGTGCCAACGGGGCTGCGCCAGAGCGCCAGATCCTGCAGGGTCCTGCTGAGCGGGGGGTGGCACTGGCCCGGGCTCGGGTGCAGGTTCCTGCAGCATGCGGCAGGATCTTGCAGGGCCCTGCAGGGCTCGACTGCAGGGCCCAAGCTTGGACTGACCCGGGCCAGTAGATCTCCAGGAGAGCATCATGGCATCACCGGCAACGCGCAGAGGGGGTTGCCGTCGGACCGAGGCACAAGATCGAGGTCGGTTTGGGGAGGGTGCCCTATTATTCCTCGTGTTTGTTGGATGCCCTTTTGCATCCTGGGGGAGGGGTGGAAGGCTTCTCAGGTGCACCCCTGCTTCTTAGGCGCGGGCTTTGTCTGTTGATATGAGGCTGGCGCCTTCCAAAAAGTAGCCTTTTCCTAAGAAGCCTTCCCCCCTTCCCCTACCCCCCTCTGCGCGCCGCCAACTCCAGGGTTTGGCGACTCGATCAAGTCGAGTTGTCGGTGTCGGGATCCGATCTGGTCGACTCTTCTGCCCTTGTCCTGCCTCCTTTCGGGAGGGAAAAGCTAGACACAAACAAACCTCAGTTTTGAGTCTGATGAGAATATGGGAATGGGAAGATATAGAAAATTGACAAGAAGAGGGAGATCCAGATGGTAACATATGGGGAGTCCTGGAGTTTGCGCCGACTCATTTGTGTCTTCCTGTGCCCCCCTTTACTTCCCCTCCCCGTCAAGATAAGTTCGAGTTTGCTTAGTGCCGGGTGCTCTGATGCTAGTCGCGGATCTGTTGGATTGTATTTGTGAATGTGTGTGGAGGAGGAGTAAGAGGATTATCAGAATTCGGAGGAGGATGCGGAGGAGGAGGAGGAGCAGGAGGAGGAGGAGCAGGAAGAGGAGGAGGAGGAGGAGGAGCAGGAGGAGGAGGAGGGGCAGGAGGAGGATGAGGAGGAGTACCAAAACAAACCCAATCTGCGTCAGAGAGAAATGTTGTCCGGCAGAGACCACCTTGTATCCGCTTGTCTTCCTTTTGAGATGTTCGCACTGGGACCCTGTACGGAGCCACCCAGAGGAATGCCGCCCCCCCTCGGCGCCCCCGAGGGCCCCGATCGGGGGCAACGTGAGGGGGCACAGGCTCGGGGGTGGATGCACCGACCCCCCACCGCACGTGGCTCGCGCCGATGGCATGCCCCCCGCGGCCCACCCCGCCCGGAATGCTGCCGATCCCCCTCGGCGCACCCGAGGGATCGCCGATCGGGGGCAACGTCAGGGGGTGCCGGCCCCGGGGTGGACGCATCGACCCCCCATCCGCACCTGGCTCGCGCCGGTGGGATGCCCCCCACGGCCCACCCCGCCTCCGTCGTCGTCGTCGTCGTCGTCGTCGTCGTCGTCGTCGTCGTCGTCGTCGTCATCGTCGTCGTCGTCGTCGTCGTCGTCGTCATTGCGGGCTTTGTCCTCGTCCTTCCCCTGCTCCTCCCCCTCCCCCTTCCCCTCCTCCTCCTCCTCCTCCTTCTCCTCCTCAGCCCCCGTCTCCGCCTCCGCCTCCTCCTCCTCCTCCGCCTCCTCCTCCTCCTCCTCCTCTCCTCCCTCCACCGCCCGCCCCACGTCCCGAGCTCGTGGCAGGGTCATCAGCTCGTCGATGTCGTTGCCGTCGTGGTCGTGGTCGTGGGTCGTCATGGTCGTCGTCGTCGTCGTCGTCGTTCTTCTGGGCGGCGTCACGGGCCGTAAGGCCTTCACGATAGGGAGCGAAGCCCCTGTTTTGGCCTCAGAGTCGCCTGCCTGCACCAGGAGGGCCAGAGGAACAGCCATGGAAGGACCCGAGGAGCATCGAGCACCTTCCGAATCCAAGCCAGCCTTCCGAGAAGGTTCATGAGCCTTCCCCAAGACACATAATACCTCTCAGAAGGCGCGAGGGCTTCTGAGAAGCCTCGCCGCCTTCTGAGAGAAGGGCTTCTTTGCCTCGCTTCCTCCGCCGGCAGGAGCGTGCGGATGTACTGTCGTGGGTCTCTTGCCGATGCATCAGCGATGCATCGCCGATCCCAGGCCGATGCCTCGATGGAAAGTCGCACGTTTTTTTTTATGGCTGCCGGTGGCCAATCAACATGATGTAACGTCGCACGTCTTTATGGCCAACGTGTGCTTCGGGGCTCAAGAGACTGGGGTCAATGCAAACGGGGGTCAGCCAGAGCGACGGATCTTGCAGGATCCTGCAAGTCCTGAGTGACCTGGATTTGGATGGACCCGGGCCAGTAGACCTGGCCCGGCACAGAAACGGAAAGAGCGTTGCAGCAACGGGTACCGAAATTACTCACACCACCGTTCGTACCCGGAGCCTTGGCGTTGAGAGCTTGTTACGTCACGCCTCGCTCTTGGGAGCCTTGGTGTTCAGAGATGGTTGCGTTGCCGCCCGTTCCTGAGCCTTGGCTGGGCCTTGGTGTCAGGAATTTGTTACGTCACCGCTCTCTGTTGGGAGCCTTGGTCATATCAGGTTGTGTACGTCACCGTTCGCTCTCGGGAGCCTTGGTGTGAAGAGCTTTTTGCGTTACCGATCGCTCTTGGCGTCTCTGGGCCTTCGTGGGAGTCCTATTGGGGTCCTTTTCGGGCCCTCGTGGGGGCCTCTCGGGGGCCTTCTGAAGGCCTCTTGGGGCTTCTTGGGGGTCTGTGGGGGCCTCCTGGGAGCGTCTGGGGGCGAAAGGCTAGACTTTCGGGTTCGTGGTTCCCCTTCTGGGGCCGTCTTGGGGCCCTCTTGGGCCGTTTTGGGCGCTTCTTGGGCCGTCTTGGCGCCCTCTTGGGCCGTTTGGGGGGCCTCTGGGGAGCCTCTTGGGCCGTCTTGGGGCGGTCTTGGGGGCCTCTCGGACCGTCTCCAACGCCGTGAAATCCACAAAGCCGTGTAACATATATTTTTTCCCATCGAATGTCGATGATTTTGGCCTCCTGATGGCCTCGTGGGACGCTTCTCGGGGGCCTCTTGGAGCTTCTTGGGGGGCTTTGGGGGCCTCCCGGGAGCGTCTTGGGGCGATAGGCTGGACTTTTCGGTTCGTGGTCCCACTCGTGGGGCCGTCTTGGGGCCCTCTTGGGCCGTCTGGGGCGCCTCTTGGGCCGTCTTGGCGCCCTCTTGGGCCGCTTTGGGGGCCTCTTGGAAGCCTCTGTGGCCGTCTTGGGGCGGTCTTGGGGGCCTCTTGGGCCGTCGTCAACGCCGTGAACAGCGAAAAACAGTAGATGCTATCAATATACATTTTCCTATGGGTAGTCGATGATTTTGGCCTCTTGGGGCCCTCTTGGGACGCTCCTTGGGCGCCTCTTGGGGGCCTCTTGGGGGCCTCTTGAGGGCCTCTTGGGGCTTCTTGGGGGTCTGTGGGAGCGCCTTGGGGCGAAAGACCAGGCTTTCGGGTTCGTGGTCCCCCTCTTGGGGCCGTCTTGGGGCCCTCTTGGGCCGTCTTGGGCGCCTCTTGGGCCGTCTTGGCGCCCTCTTGGGCCGTTCTGGGGGGCCTCTTGGGATCCTCTGGGGCCGTCTTGGGGCGGTCTTGGGGGCCTCTTGGACCGTCTTCAACGCCGTGGAAGCCGAAAAGCCGTGTATGCTAAAACTGCACGTTTTCCCATCGAAGATCTATGATGTTGGCCTCCTGATGGGCCATTTCGGAGCCCCCTGGGCCGTCTTGGGGCCATTTCGGAGCCCCCTGGGCCAGTATTGGCGCCCTCTCGGGGCCTCTTGGGGCCCCTCTCAGGGCATCTCTTGGGCAGCCGTGAGAAGTGTTTTTGGGAAGCCCTCACAAAAAAACACTTGCTGGCCAGCATTCCTGAGCCGTCTTGGGCCGTCTTGGGCGCCTCTTGGGCCGTCTGGGGGCCCTCTTGGGCTTTTTGGGGGCCGCTTGGGAGCCTCTTGGGCCGTCTTGGGGCGGTCTTGGGGGCCTCCTGGGCCGTCGTCAACGCCGTGAAAGGCAAAACGCCGCATATGCTAAAAATGTACGTTTTCCCATGGGTAATCGATGATTTTGGCCTCTTGGGGCCCTCTTGGGACGCCCCTTGGGCGCCTCTTGGGGCCTCTTGGGGGCCTCTTGGGACGTCTTGGGCCTGTCTTGGGCGGTCTTGGGCTCTTCTGGGACG